TCACACGCATACCAGTCACTTCGCACTCGGCTGCGAACCTCCCTAGGGAGCACTGAAGATCCGTTTCAGAAGATGCTAATAAAGCAAGGTCGTCTGCCAATATAGCACACATCTGGTCTAAAACAACATGTAGTAAATTACTCAAAGGCATTCATGTTTAAGGCAAACATTGTTCTCTTCTGCAGTCGAACCCGGCTTCTTCGAAGTTCGAAACCGACCTCGTGGGCACTGTGGCAGCACACTACGTTTGACTGACAACATTATCTGTTCTGATCGATTTTGCAGCGAATCACAGTGAAAGGAACAGGGTGTCACCTGAAAGCTTCTGTCTTATCGAAAATTTGCTGCAGTTTTCTTGATCTTTCGAGATGCTGGTCGTTACGTCATTTTGAAGAGGCCGTTCGCTATTGTCGAGGATATTAACACCGAACTTCACGGCACTCGTTACGACTGAATTAGCAAACTGCCGTGTGAGTGCCTGTGGATCGGAGTCTCAAACGTTGACCCACAACTTCAGCAGATTTTATACGGTTTTAGTGGCGACCTTTGATGCCATCAAAATAGATGAGGACAGCATAAAGAAGCAGCTACATTATGCTACCTTATTCGAAACATTGCAGCGTCTCTTACCTCGCTCAAAGAAATTTTGTTCATCTAAGAAATGAAGAGCCATTGTCAACACCGTTGTCCTAACCCGTTTTAGGGAAGATCTGGTTCCTTCTCATACGATCTTCACTGATGAGCCGACACATTTTCTGCCGCCCTGTGAATCTCTCGCGCACACGGGGAATTTTACTTCAGTTGTTCGTCGCGTTCTTCTTAACATGGCTTCTGACATTGGTCTCCATGGTGGTTGAGGCATGCTTTAAGCCCCTTCAAGTTGACCGATGGATTAGCCGTGATGCGCGATTCACATCAGTTATCTGCTTTCTGCTTTTTTCGCATGTGCTGTGTATACGTTTTTGGCTGACATTAATTGCACAATATTTTCGTGTTTGTTTTTTTTGCGTGCCCGGGTCGCGCTGCGTTAAAAATGGTTTGTTCGTATAAATCGACTTTGACGTAGTTTAGCATATGACGCTTTTGCTGTTGTTGATTTTCGCCTGCTTGACGTCCGCCGGAGCAGGCAAGACCCAGTACTTCCGTGTGTCGTCCGCGAACATGACCTCAATAACCTTCGATCTCGAGCAGCCGGTATGTGGCCCCTGGTCGAACATGCATTTGCACCGTGCCATTATAGACGGACTGGCCTACGGTTTACGTTACCATCAATGCCAGCAGTTTTGCGGAAGCGCTAGTGAATCCGGTGCAGTTTCACCTGGTCGACAAATATTCTTCTCTATCGTGGCAATTGCCATATGTATTGGAAGGGTTCGTGTTTGACCGTCGATTTTAACGCTGCTCTGCATGACTGAGCGCAGCGGCCTTATGCCTGACTCTTGACCGATTCCTGTTTTAGAGTGACCCTGTACAAGGCGCAGAGGACGCTGTGCCCTTCACCGAAGTTGCTATCGTTGCGTACCGAGTCGAAGATGTGCCGCAATGATGATGCCCGGTGTGAAGCTGTCAAGATGCAATTTCGTCAAGCCACCGCCGAACGCAAGCATTTCACGCTCGAAGCATTCACAGCTTCCAGAGAGATCAATTTCACCGTTAGCAGTCGATCGCTGCAAGACGTTCTACTCAGGTTAATTTTGTTCCAGTTGTTGGCGAAAACGTTTAGCTTTCTTGCATAATGAAGATATTTGTTTCTGTTCTTGAGCGAAAACCTATCTAGATATGCAGAAGAAAACGATTGAGGGACAGTCGTACAGAAGGCAGCACAGAGATAACGAATATGACACGATTCCTTATCCATAACGAAAGAAAATTAACACAATATCGGACTCAGCAAGACGGGAACTGAACAAAACAGAAAGGCGACTGAATTTGTTGTTGCACGTCCGAGAATTCGGTAATTGTTCATGAGCGCCTCATAGTTTTCCGGAATTGGTGCGTACGCTGTGAGCAACGAACGATGGTAACGCTCTGCGAGCGATTATGAACCGCAGTATTGCGATCCTGCAGAATGGACACTTGACAGTGACTGGAACGCCGTAAAGTATTGAGGGTTTACATCGTGGGCAAGAACATTAGTGGCCATACGGTTACTTTGAAACAAGTTTAAGTTTACTGCGTTATAATAGCTAC